ATAGAATAGAATAGAATAGAATAGAATAGAATAGAATAGAATAGAATTCTTTATTGGCCAAGTGTGATTGGACACACAAGAATTTGTTTTGGTGCATATGCTCTCACTGTACATAAAAGAAAAGATACATCCATCAAGAGTCAAGAGTCGATAGATGTAATTTCCCTGTTCTTTATTCTATGTTGGAAGACATCACATCTTCCTGCCTTTCTAGCCAGGTTGTATGAAATCATGTAGGGCACGGGTGTCAAACTCGTGGTGTCATGTTGCCATCATGTGATGTTTCACGATGTTTTTCCCTTCGCGGAGCTGGGGTGAGCGTGGCCTGCGCATGCATCCGGCCTGCAAGCCGACAGTTTGACACTCCTGATGTAAGGAGAAAGTTGAAACTGGGCCTACAGAGCTTTGAAGTTGGATGGATTGTTTTTTGAGTTTAGCAATCACAATTAGGACCAGCAACTTGGTTATTAAGTGAAGTGGGCATTAGTTGAAACCACGACTGTGCTTACAATCTTTTTAAAGCTTTCCTTTGCTTTATAGACCTATAAAGGTCATTAATGTGAAGATTGGCCATAAAGTTAGAGATTTTTCATCCCTGTTGTAACTGCAAATGGTTGCTAAATGAGGTAGTCATTAAATAAATATTCTGTGTTACATTTTATATTTTTGAACATTTGACAAAAGAAAACTAACATCTGATTATATAAGGGGCTTCCCCTTTGATGATATGTTGCTTTAATGAGCTTTATTATGCAATCTTTCAGATAAGAGAAAATTACTGACACTTCAGACATCTGAGAAAAATCTAAGTGTTTTCAATGTGATTACAGTGTCATTTCTAGAAAGAGAAGTTGGGATGCTCAGAATAAGTTGGTTAAATTCATATCCAGTAACAATCTTATTGATTTCTGGACAATAATGAAAATAACTTAGTTTCATGATCTTTTGGGTGGACTATTGGTAGAATGAACAGTAGAGCACCAGATTGCAAGTATATCTTTATCTTTTTAGATATCTAGGATGTAAAAAAAATAGGCCAAAGCATACTCACAAGACATATTAATGTATGCCAGTTAGTAATAAGAGTAGGCATTGCTCTCTATTAAAGTGTTCTTTCAGTGAATGAATAAATCTACCTTTAGGTAATCCAAGAAACTTCCTTCAGCAGAGCATAATGTTGACAGATATAATGTTAACTTCTAAATTATTAGAATATCAATTATGAATCTATAATAATGAAAAAACTTGCCTTGAATATTTTGTAAATGAACTCCTGGCACTCTGACTTGAAGAATGTGAGTGTGGTACTTCAAAAAAATTTTGAGGGCATCACATTGAAGAAGACAAGTTTTAAAGTCACTGCTTTGAATAGCACTGGTGTGTGAAATTCCTACGAATATGAAAAGTAGTATTGCTTTTTCTTTGCAGTGCCTCCAAAGCCATTACATCTGCAGAATTCACAGTCATCCATTACCCACCAAACCCCTAAGTCTAAAGCTTTGTGTACTACGAAGCCAAGAATGGAGGAAATTACACCTATCTCTTCTTGTGTCTCGAAAGAAAAATCTAGTAAAGTGTCTGATCTCATCAGTCATTTTGAAGGAGGCAGGTAAACACATTTCATTTTATTCAAAGGTTGCAGATTGAAATGAGCATATGTGATGATAATAAATGAAGAGGAAGACCATGTTCCATTTTTTATGGCGAGTACAGACAGTTGCTATGGTTGATTTATTAAATTGCACAATTTGAATGATGATAATGATGCATTATTGATTGGACCGGATCAATTTTAGCCGGAAATGAAAGCCAATATTATCACGGCACACAGGAGTATGTGTGCTTACATACAATGATCAGAACTTAAGCAGAGTTAATAACGGATCTCTTTTTAAAGATGCCTTCAGCAGGGATTAATTTTAGGGAGTGATACATGAAGAGTGAGTAAATGTAGGAAATAGAGAAGATCACCCAATTTATTTCTTTTTATAACCGCCTACATTTCCTCTCTTACTCATTATCACATCTCTTTTTTACTTTCTCTCCCCCTCAATGTGCAGCAGGCTGGGACATATTTTACTTGGATAGAAATCTGAATTAATTGCTATTAGTAGACTTATGCAATGAGGGTGAGGGTCATATGAGGCCCCAGGCCTGCTCATGATTTCTAGCCTGGGCTTAGGTCGAGCTGTGTTCATGCAGACTTTTGATAACAAAACGATGAAAAGCTCAGTTAATTTTAGTAATGTTACCAAATTAGTGTAATGTTGCTGGAAATCTCCTTTTCCTCTGTTAACATTTTCAATATAAGGCAAAGTCATGATTATTCACTTAAAAGAACTTGGGGTTTCGTTTGTGGTTTTAGAATTTGTTGTCCTTTATTTTTCAAGAGTTCTTGTCCATTTTAATCATCAAACTAATACTTATGACTGCAATTGAGTCCAAAATTTACATTGCTAAGTGAGAAATTTGTTAAGTGAGTTTTGCCCCTTTTTACGACTTTTCTTGTCACATTTGTTAAGTGAATCACTGCAGGTGTTAAATTAGTAACACAGTTGTTAAATGAATCTGGCTTCCCCATTGAATTTGCTTGTCAGAAGGTCACAGAAGGGGATCACGTGACCCTGGAACGTTGTAACCATCATAAATATGAGTCAGTTGTCAAACATCCGAATACAAATCACATGCAACAGTCATAAGTGTGAAAAATAGTCATAAGTCATTTTTTCAGAGCCATTGTAAACTTCGAACAGCCACGAAATGAACTGTTATAAGTCAAGGACTACCTGTATTGGCTGTTTGCATCCTAGCCATTTGCTCTTTTTAAGATTTCCATTCCAACAAGTTGCTGACATCCGTGCTTTTCTCATAAGTCATGATTACATTGTTCCTCTTATTCGTTCTGGAATGTAATTTTTTTCCTCTGTCCAATTCAAGAAAAAGGATCTGGTCATAATGAGATTCTTACTTCAGAAAGCATATTTAATATTATCATCTACAGTAGCAGAATTCTATTAGTACTATGTTTGTCTTTCTTTGTTCCTTTCCAAGCTTAGAACCTGTGTCTTTTCTAAGGAGAAACATCCTCTTGACAGCAGTCCAAGAAGAAGTTGGATAAAATCTTTCCCTGAATGAGATAAGTCTTGACAAGAATAGGTCAAATAATTATTCTCCAGATAAATACTACAGAGTTAATTTACTAATATCAGATGTTCTTTGTACGGACGTGGCTTTCTTGATATCCTAAAAGTGGACAAAGTCTTGGTAGCAAATGGTCCACCTGCTCCATCTCCGCTTCTTCTTGAGCAAAGCATCCTACTGCTTATATTAGATAGATTTACCATCTCTCTTATCCAAACTTGTAGTTGCCAACTTATTATAGAAAGATATGATGTAGATTCTATAGTTCCAACTTACTTAAATGTTTTTATAGGAAGTTCATAATGTGCATTAAACAATAAAATATTAGATCTCTATGCATAAATCTGGGGCCTCCGTGTTGGTTAGCTTCATTCCAGAACAAAAATGTGTTGTCTTTTCATTCTAGAATTTTCCCCCCTGGTTTGTGGGTCTTATTTGCTGTGTGACCTAAGATGCAGGTGACTGGGAAATAGAAGATAAAGAGTCCTCATGCAAATGAACTGGCAGTTGCAGTTTAACCATTTTTAATAAAGGTAATAAAAGGGCACCATTGCAATAGGGAATTGGAGGTGATTGAACTCCATTAAATATTTGGAGTCTGGTGAAGTAAATTAGTCCAGCTGTTGAGTCCATTAAAATTATCCTAGGGAGAAGCAAAATTAGACGGTATACATGGTAGAGCAGGAGGGAATGGTTACTTTGAGCAAAGTGATAAATAGCACTGATAAATTGGAATAGTGTAGAAAGAGGCACCACTAGATATACTCAACGCCATCTCACACTGCATTTTGGGTGATATGCAAATCAGCATGCTAAGGTTAAAATAGGACTTTGAACATACAGTCTTGCTGTCAGAGCTGTTGTGATTTCTTTTAAATCTCCTTTTGTTCTAGTTACCTGCAAAGATAGATGACTGTTGTGAGGTTGTGCTATTGAGAGAAGAGTAGAAGAGACAGCGACTCTTGATGCTTGGCAGATTGTATGTGAGAGCTAGATTGGAAATCAATTGCTTTTGCCTCCTGTCTTTTTCATAGTGAGCAAAATTAATGAGGATTAAGCCAAAGTTACAACTTGGCTCATACATCATGCTAAATGCTTGGCTTGGTTTTGGCTAGGGTTACTGCATTACATCTGGACTGAAAAAATATCGAGGTTACTATTGGAAGGCAGCAAAAGATTAGAATTTTTTACAAGTTTTTTTTAAAGCTTTGCATGGTCATCATAATTTTTCCAATGCAGATAAAGGTAAAGGTAATGGTTCCCCTCACACATACGTGCTAGGCGTTTCCGGCTCTTGGGGTTGGTGCTCATCTCCATAACAAAGCTGACGAGCCAGTGCTGTCCAAAGACTTCTCCGTAGTCATGTGGCTGGCATGACTAAATGCCGAAGGCACACAGAACGCTGTTACCTTCCCACCAAAGTCTACTTGCAGTTTTACATGCTTTCAAACTGCTAGGTTGGCAGAAGCTGGGACAAGTAACAGGAACTTACTCCGTTACGCGGTGCTAGGGATTCAAACTACTGAACTGCTGACCTTTCTGATCTCAGTGTCTTAGCCATTGAGCCACCGTGTCCCTTTGGGGAACAGATATGGTAGCCCTATCTTTGGCTCAGCAGGTGTGAACTTAAAGTGTGGGTTACAGACAATGGCTTAGTACATTGTATGAAGCTAGCAAAAAACACATCATAGCTCAAACATAGCCCTGTTGTTAAAACAATGATTATGTGGTTTCCCCCTTATTATGGAAATGCCCTTAGAAGCCACATTGGTGCCACACTGTCTTCAGGAAGATGGAAAAGTAGGTTTTTGCTGGTATCTGGGATCCAAGTGTTTTATAATTGTTGTTTCTTCCCTTGTTTTGTTTTGGAATTTTATGGGTTGTTTCATGGATTTTGAAATGTCTGGATATAAATAATGGTTGTCCAACCTTATTGGCTTGCCTGGGCCGGGTTGAATGAAGAGGAATTATCTTGGACTGTATAATATATTAACTATATAAATATAGTAAATGTATCAAAATAGCAAACTTCCTTTATGTTTTATATTTTTATTATCTTGTGGGTCTGCATTACTAACTGTCCAGAGCCATATGTAGCCCATGGGCTATGGATTGGACATGCCTAATATAAATATTGTAATAAATGAATAAATAACTTGGAATTTGTAATTCATAAATTATGGCTTTTTCCAAAATAGGAAATAGTTTGATCAACTTGATAATTACACAAATAATAATTATAATCTGTTTTATCATTAGTATAAACAATGCTGCAGTAAACTATGCTGGTTAAATGAACAAGTTTCCTATATTTGTTTGCATGCTTACAATGTGGTGCATTTCAGATACAAATATAGCATAAAGAATATTATATTTGGGGGAAAGAATTAAAATATATAAAATTAGTGCCAGTAGTATGTGAACTGAACAGCTTCATTTAGCACCAATATTAGTTACCGTAGTGTTTTTTTAATAGGCAAGAGGTGTGTACATATGTCTGCACAAAAAGTAGAAATATACCCAGATTGCATTTTTTCCGGGTTTTTTTCTATGTGAAAGGAATGTAATTATTAGACTTTTTGTTTAATCATTTATGCTGTTTGTTATGGTGATGGAATTGTGTATTGACTGGAACAAGAATCTGCATAAATTTGCAATTTAGTTGTTGCCTGATGCTTTCCAGAAATTTGGGAGGGCAGGTCTGGAAAATTACTGCAAAGACCTTAGATGAGCAAATATTATACCTCTTCTTAGTAAAGCAATTGTTGATTGGGGTGAGGGAGGAGACACTATTTTAAGGAAAAACATATGTTCATTTATTTGATTTATTAGAGTAATAACCTTCTTTTGATCAAGAGCTCAAACTAATCTACATAGGGTTTCCCTATTTTCTTCTATAAGCAATCTGTTTCACAGAAGAGAGAACAAGACTTTCCCCCCAGTTTCAATATGAGTCTACCCTCACCTTTATACTTCTGTCTTTCTATTAAATATACACAAAGATTAATCTTTTGGTTTTCTTTAATCTGCTGCTGGGGAAAAAAGGCCAGAAAATTGTGCCACTTTAGTCTGGCAACTTGGATGGATATGATAGATAGATAGATAGATAGATAGATAGATAGATAGATAGATAGATAGATAGATGATAGATAGATAGAAAGATAGATAGAAAGATAGAAAGATAGAAAGATAGATAGATAGATAGATAGATAGATAGATAGATAGATAGATAGA